CTTACAAGCCAATCAATACAAATTGATCCCTTGCAGTCTGTTAGCCACTGTTTATAAGTACCGTCTTATCAACTTCATTTACCACTTTAAATGCACCAGCAACAGCCATGGTCTAACTAGTACAGCTGTTGCTTTGTCAACTCTTGTAGTGATGTTTTCAGCAATATTTCCTAGGAACCTTCACTTTCCAGAACGTCTGGTTCTAGACCAGTGATCTAATATTTGTACGTATCATCGCTTTCGACCCTCCAGGTGTTCATACCTTCTTTCCCTTAAATCTTCAGATATTTGCTTTCTTTGTATTTTTGTATTCTTCGTCTTTTGTGGTGCTCAGAAGCCCATGAATCTTCATCATCATTATCCTCTTTTAACGACCCTATAAGCCCTTGTGGGATGGAGCAACTGAATGGAGCGGATTGCTCACTGACCGGATGCCCTTCTTGTTGTCAATGTGGAGTTTTTTCAGCAGATATATTTGTAGCGTGCTCAGAGAGAGAAATACCTGCCTCTACCTGGGATCAAACTCACAGCCTCCTGATTGTGAGGTGAGAGCTCCACCTGTAGGCCACCACCCCTCTCCTCAGGAGCCCATGAATATGATAGATTATTTCATTCCCCCCCCCCCCGCCCCGTCCTTCCCATTTGATTGTTCACCTGTTTCTTTGTGTGACTTATTTAGGGAGGACTCCTGCTCCCTTCTAGTTCCGGGGAATCGGTGTTTACTCAGGAAGTTTGCCTTCCCCTTGGTGCCTTTTACCCACCCGCATCTGGCAATGCTTCCCTTTGCTCCCTCTTATTCAACGTGATGCTGTGACGTTGCAGCCCACCATTCTCCAGGGATCCCGTTTAACAGCTCCAACCCATTAAATCTACTTTTCACCTCTGCGTTATCACTGTGAATTCTGTAAAGGTCAGAACTTGCTGATCGAGTGATTTCCCTTTTTGCTGTTTCAGTCTATTTTTACCAGAAGGTGTTTGTGATCTGAGCCAAAGGCAGCCTTCGGACGTCTATTGCTTGACCGAGTAGAGGGTCTCTCTCATGGCTTGAGAGCAAACGATCATCAGTCTGATTTCAGTGTGATCTGTCCAGGGCTACTTATTCACAGGGCCATCTTATTCTTAGGCAATTGGACAGTGGTTATATTTATCACCAACACTGGATTTTCTTGGCCGAACGCTCTTAATGGGTCAGCAGTTTCATCTTCCCACAATACCAGAAACAGTTTTCTTTCCAGGCTCCTCTCATTCACTTGTTACTCTGTCAACTGGCTCTTGAAACCACTTCCGAAGAGTCCAACTTCTCCTTCCTCTGTGACTGCAGCCGAGATTGACAGAGTTGACTAGTTTCTCTTGGAAAGGCCAAGATTGGTGCCCACATTTTGCTTTCTTCACTCTGCTGCGATGCAATCACGTCTTGGATTTTAATTTTAATTCTTCATCTCATTTTGTTTCATCTCAGAGACTGGGCCAGGTGGCCAATCAGAGTGTTTCTTCAGAGGATGCCAGATTGGTTCCATTACTACTCAAGGACCCCATAAAATAACTGGGAAATATTTTGATGGCCATACTACAAAAAAGATGTTGAGGCTTTGGAAAAAGTTCAGAGAAGAGCAACTAAGATGATCAAAGGCCTGGAGACTAAACCACACAAAGAACGGCTGCCGATTTTAGATCTGGCTACTCTAAAGAAAAGAAAAATTAAGGGCAACATGATAGCAGTATTTCAGTATTGGAGGGGCTGCCATAAAGAAGAGGGGGTCAAATTAATCTTCAAAGCACCAGGACAGGACAAGAAATCATGGTTGGAAACCGATCAAAGAGAGGAGCAACCCAGAATTAAGGAGCAACTTCCTAACAGTGAGGACAATTAACCAGTGGAACTGCTTGCCTTCAGAAGTTGTGGGTGCTCCATGCAGAGTGGTACTCAGCAGGTTCTGACCAGTTCTGGAGAACCGGCCGTGGAAATGTTGAGTAGTTCAGAATACCACCTCTGACTGGCCCCTCCCCCATCTATTCCCAGCTGATCCCAGGCTGGGTCTCCTTTGGTTGCCCTGCCCAGGAGAACCGAGCTGGAAAGCAGGTTGGTGGGCTGGGGAGGGAATGGGGATTTTACAGTATCCTTCTCCTGCCACGCCCACCAAGCCACACAAACCTAGCCACACCACGCCCACCAAGCCACGCCCACAGAATCGGTAGCACATTTTTTTGAATCCCGCCACTGGCTTCATCACTGGAGGTTGAGCAGGGGGCTGGACTAGCAGACCTTCACGATCCCTTCCAGCTCTATTCTAGTCTAGATATTTGTGATTACATTGTATTTCATCTTCAGGAAGAAGAGCATCATTTGAATGGGGATTTTGGGGCTCCGGGGCCAGAATATCTCCTTCAGCTGCCCTCCATCACGACTGCTCTTAGGCCTACAGCCTCAGGGATCCCATCATCTTCCATCTCCTCACTAACCGGACCGGCCTTCTTGGCTTAAAGCTGTCAGATCTGATGAAGCAAATTCATCTGCCTTTGGGAGAGGTTGCCTGTTGCATCTCTGTGTGAACTACTTGTGACCTGGTTTGGCTAGTTCCCTTTCTGCTTAGGGATCCCAGTGAGGATAGCAATTGATGCAGAAAAACAACTGTTTTTTTTTCTGGGTTACATCCTCGATGTTTGGCATTTATCATGGTGTCATGATCAAAGTCAGCTCAAATAATTATGACACAACAAGGAAACAGAAACTTGACTGTTTATCAACATCTGAATAATTCTTTTTTCAACAGAGGGTTCAGGAAAAGGACTTTTGAGCAATCCTGTCAAGATTTCTGGAGATATTTTGCCTAAGGAGCAAAATCCGAAGCATGTTTCTCTTTTATTTCATTTTTCTTTAATGTTAAACTGTAGGTGAACTTTTAACGCTGTTAATTGAAACCATGTTGCTTGAATTAGCATTCGTAAGACATTGGGGAAAAAAGAATTCAACATTTATATTTCTGTTTGTAGGTTCTGCTACTAATGTTATTATGTTTCTGTAAAAAGGGAAAAAAGCAAACCAAAAGACCTGTTTTGTAAGCAGATAATTCTTCCAAACTCTAAAAATTGGCTCCGAAAATGAGATTATTTAACTCAGCAAAGTGCAACTCTAGTAACAGACATTTGAAAAACTGAATTAAAATTATGCGCAAGCCAGAAAGGAAGGAAACTTGCTGAAAGCAACATTTGGTGGTGGCGGCGATACCAGCAGCAAAATTCTCACATGAAAACCAAATTCCATAATTTTAAAATGAGCTTTTCCTTTAACAATTCTGCCCCCTCGGAGCTGCATAGGAAGAGGGAGGGGGGAGCCCCCTCCCCACATCACAAATGATTTGCTCTGTCCAAAGGAAACGAAGCCGAATTTGGAAGCAGCCCAAGTATGTGAACACTGAGGAGAGCATTAAGTTAATATAAATAGTTTCTCTTTTGCAAACTGAACTCCAGCAGATGATATTGGATGACTATAAATTTTATGGCAGAGCACATTTAATAATACGTGTGTGTGTGTGTGTGTGAGACAGAGAGAGAGAGAGAGAGAGAGAGAGAGAGAGAGAGAGAGAGAGAGATGGGGAAAGAGAGAGACGGAGCGCAAGATTCAGAATCGACACCACGTCCAAACACAGAGTATAACGCTCTGGCAAGCTTAGCGAGGCCCATAAATTCCTCCGGCAGGGGCTGAACCAGGGGTCCCGCAGCTGGGTCACCGAACACACATCCAGGCAGTTGGGTCATAAAACACCGATTATTCCATCCTGCCGATGGAAGCCCAGAGGGATAAAACTATATTTGCCAGCCAGGCCATGTTATTAAGACTTGTTTCAAAAGCAAGAATAGGGTCCAAACACTTTTGCCTTGCTTCCTCAAAGAACGGAAGGACTGCATCACCCTCAAAATCGCATTTCTAAATGTCTCCCCAGCTCTACAAAAGGCAGACAATACATCACCGTCACCAAAATAAATTAGGACCCCCTCCTCCCCCTGCCAACATGGCTGATAATAATGAAAGCTTCTATGCAGCTATTGACTAAGCGAGACAGACCAGAGTCCTTCCTGGGTCTGATATGTTGCTGTGTTCAGTTCTGCTGAATTCTTGAATTCCACTTCAACTCCCCGAATACATAAACTGCAACCCCATAAAAAGGATAAACAGATTAAACCAGCTGATTGCAAAGTTTCGCACAGCTGAGTTAAGAACATTTGTTATAGCGTTGTAATGCAGCGCAATTTTTGTGTGGAGATACACAGAAATGAGACCCATATTATGGCTAGAATCCCAGCCCATGTGAACAATCCACTGGGCTAATGCAGGCAACAGATTTCCTAAAAAGACCAAAATAAAACTTCAAATTAAAAATTCAGTAAAGAGCAGATGGCTGGGGAGAAGCAGAAGTAAAGCAATGGTTTGCAAAACGCCTGCTGCGTTCTCCTCGTGGAAAGCTCTGATGATGTTATCTAGCTGGGTGATGAAACGTCTGCAAAAAAAAAAAAGCCCGCCAAGGTCAGAGAGCGCCAAGGGGCCTTCAAGCTAGGAAGGTCTCATCAGCTCCCTTGGAGAGGATCGCCCTTTGGCAATGCACAACCCGCCGCTCTGAGCACCCACTTCCTTGTTCCTTGGGTTGGGTGCCCCCAGTCAAGGCAAAGGGCGCTGCTCAGCCCCATTCCTCCTTAGCTACGGTAACAAGACCTAGCGACCGGTGTGGGTGTGGGTGTGGGTGTGTTGCTTTCACAAATACTGTCAGCAGATATATTCTTAACACTACAGACAGCAACAATAGCACCATTTATTCTTCTTAATTTCAAATTCCAAAGGACACAGGCATTACTATAGTCCATTTTATTCTTTTATCTACTATTTTGTGCTTTTAACCCTTGAGCATTTTTGACATAAAAGTTGCTTTGAGCTATAGAAAACAGATGCCAGAAAATATGCATTAAAACATCCCACTTAATCATTTCCAGTCCCACGAATTACTTACCTCATCTCCAATCACAAGTTCTTCCCTGGGACTGTGGAAAAGATATTTGTACAGTGTATAATGTTGGAATAAACTGAAAGGCAAGAAAATGGACGGTAATTTTTTAAGAGCATCCAGGATTCATGTTGCTTCTAAGGAGGTTGTTTAACCACACAACCTAAGACCCTAAAGCTCTAGCTAAATTTCATAATCCAAAACCCATTTTTTTCTCTCTCGTTCACTGTTATAAAATCCTGCAGCGAGGTAACAATTCCCACTAAATGCAGAACTAAACTTGCCACAAAGTTGTACAGCTGTGATTTCTGATCTGCTTCACAAAGCTGTTGTGGTGGAGGAAAGCAAGACACCCCATCACCTTGGAGGGAAGGAAGAAGACTAAATGCATTGGAGTGGGAAGTTGTGAGCACTCTGAAGGGAGCAGGGCAGTTTGCAAGGCGCCAAGACATCAGAAGCTGACTTCCCTTTGTCAGTCGGGTTCTGCCGGCCCTGCCGGCCCTGATGGATCTGGGTCGATCCCATCAGGGTGGCCTTGGGATCTGGGCTTTCTGCAGGGGGAGAGGGGAAAGAATGCTCACTGACGACTGCCCTTCTTCCCTCTAAACCCAGATTCATTGTTTAGCTAAGAAACAAGATGGCTTGTGTTGTGGCCCGCCAGTGGCCAGCAGAGCTGGCAGCAGATTCGGACAGTGAGGACGTTGGGGAGGAACACGGGCCAGTCCTGGAGTCTGGGGAAGGCTCTAATGAGTGCTCTGCATCCAAGGCAGAGATGGGGCCAGGGCCACCTGATAGTTAACAGCCGCCTTCAGAGTTGGACATCAGTGAGGAAGAAGAACAGCTGGAGCCTGTTCCCAGCATGTGCATGCACAGAGCAGCTAGGAGAAGGGAAGAGCTAAGGAACAAGGGTAGACTTGGGAGTAAAGCCACAGGCGAATGGCCCCTCCCACAGGGAATAAAAGAGGAGCGGAAGGGGAGGGGAGTTTTGCAGGAGACCATTAGTTCATTTGGGTGAAGATCCGTTCCTGCATTCTTATCAGGTATTGTCTGCTACAGTGTGGCGTCTGAAAGATATCGTCCTAGAAACTCTCCCGGCCTGATAAAGGTCGGGGATTGTGAAATCTCTTGAAAGACTCTTGGTCGGGACTTTGCTGGAGAGGAATTCACTGTAAACTAAATCAAAGGGGTTTATCGGGACAAGAAGTTAGCTCCGTGCTGCCGGGGAAGCCCTAGGTCAGAAGAGCTTGGGCAACACTTGGGTTTCTCCCGGTCTGAAGAGATTTTCTTTTTTTGGTCAGACATGGAATCCACTTGACATGCACTCTGGCTGCTATTGAAGGAGAGACTTTTGGCATAACGGGACAAAGCATTACAGATGTGAACGAAACAAGGCAGGCCTTTTCATGACAGCCACTTAAGCATCTGAAAGCGATTAATACAGACGGACGTTCCTCCTTTGATTGTTTCCTGCAGGGATATGTCCTCAAAGAAGCTGATGTCGGGGTTGGTGCAGCTGATGCAATGGGAACCAGGTGGGGGGGGGGAGGGGGGGAGGGGAGAGGGACAGTTACCCATCACCTGCCCTCCCCTGCCCTCCCCTGCCCTGGAAACAGGGCACTTCTCTCTCTTGTCCTTGCAAAAGAAAACAGAAAAATATCCACCAAAATTAAAGGGAGGAAGAAATTCTGAATATTCTTGGGGGGTGGGGGGGAAACACCCCCACCCCAACTCCATCACTGGAAACAGATCAAGAAATCTCCCTTTTGAGGAATCCGGCTATTTCTGCAAAAGCAAAGAGGTGCTCTAAGAGCGGAAGAAGCAGCCAAGCCAGCTGAAATGCCCTCTCCATTTTCAAAGCTCCCAAAGGTTGGGAAGCAGATCCTTCTTCATTTCATTTTCTGAAATTGGCTTCTGCTCTGAAAATGGGCTGAAAATTTCCAGAGATCTAGGCTTCTCTATTCTTCTATTTAAAAGCCAAAGAACATCTCCACTTGTCCAAGGCAAAGGGCAAGGAAGGGCCTTTCAATTCTGTTGGGGTCTTCCAGGAAGCATCCAACTTGGGCCATCTAGCTCAGGGCTCCCCAACCTTGGCAACTTTAAACCTGGAGGACTTCTGGGAGCTGTAGTCCTCCAGACTTAAAGCTGCAAAATTGGAGACCCCTGCTTTAAGGTCCTACCTGATACACTCGAGTGTACAGGCATTCCTGATAGATGCGTGAGACTGTGGTTAGCTTCCAGGTGAGATTCAAGGTGCTGTGGCACCCTTTAAAGGCAGGGCTCTCCTACCGTGGCAACTTTAAGCCTGGTGGACTTCAACTCCCAGAATTCCCCAGACAGCTGACCCCCCCCCCCTCAAGGAGGAGAAACAAAAGGGGACTTTCCTTCTCTAGGCAAACATTAAAGGCATTGGTTTCACAGTATAAACCCAAACGGGCTCCCTCAAAATATCTTGCTAGAAGGTGTCATGTTTGCATGAGAAATGTTAGGGTAAGGCATATGAACATTTAATCGCTTGTTCAATTTATTAAAACCCTAATGATTAATTGATTAATTAATCCATTACCCAGTGAAGGCTGTCTAAGTTTCATATTACGAGAATTAGTGCCATCAACTTAGCAACCAATCATCCATTTTTCTTTTGTTACTGTTAATTCCTTGGGGGTTCAAAGCAGCACCAACAGTCGGAACCCAAACCTGACGATTCATGAAAACAACCCAAGGGACCCGTCACCAGCTTCACAGCCCAACAAGTACTGAATGGCCACCTCCCCCTAGCAGTGCTGAAGGATGAGGAAGCCCTACCTGCTCTTCACATAGTTGATGATGGCTTTGGCTTGATCGACGGTGAAGAACTCAAACCCGCCACTTATCTCTGAATTGCTCAGCCCGATGCCAGCCATGGCGCTGGCTAGTTCCTGGATGTTCTCTTCCAGGCTCATGTGATAGGCTGCAACGCAAAGGGAAAGACGAGTGAGCATCTGTGGTTCAATGCGGCTGCATACGCAAAGAGTTCTCCTGACTCCAGCAAACCCACTCCGAAGAGAAGCCTCCACTCAGGCGTTGGCTTCCATACGTCTGGATCATGTGAAAACGTAACGCTTGCGCTGAGATTCATCTAATGTCCAATCTTTGCCTCAATAGTTGCCTCAATAGTGTGAAAAGATGGTTATGTTCATCCCCTTAGTGTTATAGCAAAGGAAATCTCCCGTTTGATGCTGGGTCCAGGTAAGAATGCCCCCAAAACTCCCCCAGCCCAACCAAAGATCAAGTCAGTGACCAATCAGGATTATAGATGTGACCATGTGACATGAACTACATCTTCCATGAAGTATTAACTACATTTCCCATGAAGCATTCCCCTAAGGGGGTAGCTCTCATTCCCAAACTAACTATATACTGTCTAAGCAGCACACACATATTGAAGAAAAGGCTTTGCACACGTAACACACACATAAAGTGATAGAGGAGGGTATGGCTTGTCTGGGAAATGCTCCCAAGCATGCTGGTGTTCTGACCAAGGCTTCCTGAGATAGTAACAATCACAACAGCTGGGACATTCCTATGATTACCCCCAAGTCTGTGTTTCCTCCGACTGAGGCTCCAAGGAGGATATCAGCCCCTGAGAAAAGGAGGAGCAGATCTGGAGCAAAGCTGGAACCAGGAGAGGGTTATTTTCTGGAGAAACCTGGAGAGGCTGTGCTGGCCAAGGGGTATAAGACTTGCCCTGCCTCTGAACTAACTGCCGGTCTGCTAAGCTCTGCATTTCCTCCCTGGTGGACTCAGCATGAGAGTTCCACTGAAACCGCGCAGGGCCTTAGAAGTCAAAACGTTACTGGACTCAAAACAGTTTCCACTGAACCACCATTTGTCTGGGTTGATCTGAGTGTCCTTGCACTAGGGAGGGGGATGGACTGGAGAACTTCCAAGACCTCTTCCAACTCCTAAGATTCTACGATGGGGACAAGTCTACACAGAGGACATTTAATCTTTGACTGCACAGCCTTCCCGAGACTTTCATAGAACGTCTCAGTCCTTGGTATCTCCACAGGTGGATGCTCTGGAGGCCGAATGTTCTCACGATAGTCAATCTGTTGTGGGGGCCCAGTTGGAGGGTCAGGCAGAGGCAGGATTTGGTGGCAAAGGGCCTGAAAGGAGCCTCTTTCCTCCTGCGCCCATCGGAAAGTTCTCCTCCATACAGGCTGTGGGGTGAAGGGGGCTGGCCTGCCCTGGACCACCTCCAAGTAGGTCGGGAGATGTTAGATCTAATGCAGCAGCCTGACCTCAGCCAAGAGTCCAGAAGCCAATTTTTAATTGCTTGGATTTGTCCATTCAGTTTACATGGATATATACAATGGTGATGTAAGATGATGTTTTAGTAAATCAATTTTAAAGTAAATTCTCAGGATAGAAAGCAGATGTGCACAACCAGAGATGCTCCAAGTTCTTTCCTCTAATGGGCACACAGTGATCTTCTCTGAATCTTAAGCGTTTCAGCATCTACGAAAGATATTTTAATTCCTCCTGGTTGGTCAGATAGATTAGAAGATGCAACGCGATAGAGCCACAACCCCCTTTCCCTGCTGGCTGTTGCAGATGCTCTGACACTTTCCATTACATTGCAGATAAGGCTGAGATTCCTATATCAACAAAGTTATACAAATGTCACTTTTAAAATATAGCCAATGTAGACTGTAATATAGCCCTTTTTGAAAAACACACACCAAATTTTCCGTCCATGGTTCCAGATGGGCTTTTCTGCAAAAGATAAACACTCCAAATAAACCCTGAAATGCTTTTCAGTTCCAGTGCCAAAGTCCCTTCTCACCAATTTCTTCATAGGTTAGACAACGCTTTCTTCTAAAGAGAAAGATGGTTTTCCCCATCAAGCGATGCCAAGCTGCCTTTGTCGAAAGGCTTGGCTGATTCTCGTCCTGCAATTCTGGCTTTGTTTTTGCTCGAATCCCAGGAGAGAAATCGACATGCCTGGCATTTGCCAAGCATGAGTGCAAACAGAGCACTTGCTGATGGGTAGGTATTGCTCTCCTGGGCAGGCCAGGGTGTCCAGTGAGGGTGTTCCATGGCTTCAGGAGCTGCATGGCTCTGTTAAGAATCTGTTATCTGTTTGAGTCTGAAATATCTCAGTAGCAACCTGGTTATAGCTGTCTCTCTTCTTCTGGTATTTTTGCGGCAAGATAATTTAAGCTACAAGAGCACATTAAGGGCAGCACTAACTGTGGTTTGCAAATCCAAATTAACTGGGTCCATGTTGTGGAATGCCAGGTCTAATCAAACCCTATTTGTGACCAGGTCCAGATATTAAGTCATTACTTGGTGTAGATGTGAGCAACTTCTGAGGACTCAGAAGGCTCCTATCTAGACCCCTAATTTCCCAGGAGGGGGCACTGGTGGAAGCTGGCTTTGAGGACAGGCCGATTCATTTATTTAGCGTGGTTGCAGACCACTCCCATTGTTACAAATACAAGAAGGGGAGGCAGGTGGGAACTTCTACCGTGCACCCCCATGACAGGGAAAAATCACATGGAGCCCAAGAGCCGAAATCTATTTCTACAGTTTGTTGCCCTAAACAGCTTTGAAGTGTTTTGGCACAGAAAATGGTAGACAAATGCAAGGAATAAATAAACACACTATCCTTTCAATAACAGCAACTAGTGAATTCCGGGTAAAATCACAATTTTGTGGGGGCCAGGGACATTCCCAAATAACGGCCCCTAGTCGTCTTACATACAGTAATCCAGTGGAGAATGGGTACACTCACAGGATGCGGCTGAACTTACTCTCCAGATTATCCAGCAATAAGTTGAGAAGAGTCAGGAATCCTCCAATCTGCACAGATGAGAACTCCGATCCTTTGGCCCACCAAAATCCAGAGACGTAATAATCCAGTAGCGCAGCTTCTGTCAAAGATGTCAATCGATGCTTCAGATTCAGAAACTCTTCCAAACTCCTGGGGTTGAGAAATAGCAGAACACAAAAGTCCACCTGTCTGTGTAATTGTGCCAATTTACTTTCAATGGGGCAAATTTTGCAAACCCAGGAATGAGCAGAAATCGACGGGTCTCCAAAATCTTGGACCAAAACCAGGGTCAGAAACTTTACCATTTAAGTTTAAGTTGCTTCTGGAGGACCGTATCTCCCCACATGGATTTTCTGACTTGCATACAAATAGGAATGTGACATTTTTTGAAAATATTTTAATACCACAGCTAGGCAGAGTCAATGTCTAAAACTAAATCTGCACTGTATTTGTAGTAAAAACTAAATGATATTTTTAAAAAAACGATACTAATGACATTCACAGTTTATGGATTAGAGAACTTGAGCATCTGATAAATGGTCGCAAGTCTTAAAAATGTAAAATTTGTTTCACTGGGTTTAAAATTAAAACTGATTCACATTTTATTATGAGTTAACTGACCAAGAAAATATTTGGAAGATTAGACAGTGCAAATAAAAGAGGCCTTGTTTGCATTGATCCTCCTGAGCATCATTTAGATCAAGGGTCTCCAGCTTGGCAACTTTAAGCCTGGAGAACTTCAACTCCCAGAATTCTGGAAGTTGAAGTCCGCCAGGCTTAAAGTTGCCAAGGTTGGAGTCCCCTGATTTAGATGGGATCACATGATGGTCTCCTCTCAAGACCCCCAACCATGACCTGGGCCTCTGAGACTGACTTGGAAACCGCTGGGGAGGGTCACAATCTGTGGCATGTTGAGGAATGTGACTTTGTCCCTGGAGCGAAGAACGACACCCACAGAAGCTCCATTTCTCTTTAAAAGGGAAAAACAACCCCCCCTCCCCAGCCCAAGTCACAGGGTTCCCCTCACACACAGACACACTCCCTCTGCAAACCAACTGCCTGCTGTCTTGACAGAGGATGGCAAGGGCAAGCTCTGTCGATGTCCCAATCAAACTTACTTCTCAACTCCTGCGATATCCTGTTCCAACATAATGCTGATCTCAGCAAGCGATAGAAATTTCCAAGCCATTTCTTCTTCATCTCTATTAATTTTGTCATCATCCTACAGAGCAAAACAATGAATTACAGAACAATAGCACCCACACATAAGCAGTACATTCAACCAAAAGGATTTTTTTTAAAAAAATTAGTGCATAAAGAAAAACAATGGCAACTGTCCACACCAATTTAGCTGATTTACAACAGGATCAGGAACAGAGAGATAAGAGCAGAATTAATTGGCCTTGCATTTACAAATGGTTTTTTTTTTTTAAAGACAATTTTCAATGCAGCAAAGCAGAAATTCTTATTTTTGCTAGGTCACCACTGGCCCTTGAGCAAATTTGAAACACACCCTGCAGGCCTCGGATAGACCTTTGGCAAAAGCTGTTTGTTCCTCCTGCAATCGGCAAATGGGGACGGAAAGGGATACGTGGAAAAAAAACGACAAACAGGCCCCAAATTACAAAAAAGGCAAGCATTCCGTTATTGTAGTTTTGGTATCCTTTTTCGGTCACCTTTAGGAAAATTCTATCCATGCCTCTCAAGATACGAGAATCAAAACAGGGATGTGGTTTTGCAGCAGGAATTTATTTGTTTGTTTGTGTTTGTTTACTGATTTATTTATCCATCGACCAATTCATCCCTCCTCTCCCACCCCAATCTGTGGGCAGCCCAACTGGCCAAAGGACCTGGGGCCAAGGCCCAGGGCAGCCACGGGAAGACCTGACCGACCACCCTCCAAGAGGCCACAGAAGACATGAAGTGGGGGGGGGGGCAAGGGGCCTCTATATGCCCTTTTAGGCCACTCCACGATGCCAGCCTCGCAGGAGCCTTATCGTCGCCACACTGCAAGGTTGCTGCTCAAGTCCAACCAGACCCGGATCGCTTGGGCAGCTGCTGCCATTTCTCCTGCCCTCCCCCCCCCCCCGTGGCGAATCCCGCCCCCCCCCCCCCCCCCCCCCCCCCCCCCCCCCCCTGGGGGGGGGGGGGGGGGAGGCCCCCCTGTCCCCCCCCCCCCCCCGGGGGGGCAGGACCTTCGCGGGAGACAAGAGCATCGAGGACCCGGGAACGCGACCCCAAACTCCACTCGGGGACCAAACGGCGACCCCGCCAGCAACACCCCCCCCCCCCCACCCAACCCAACCCAACCCGGCGCTTTGGCGGGAGGCCTGCGGGAACCTCCCCGGGCGAGGAGAGCGGCGGCTCTGCCCGGCAGCCTTGCGGCGCCGCCCCGTCACCCGGAGGCTGCCCGGGAAGCGGGGCTCGTACCTGCAGCATTGACACCACGCTCCCCCGCTCTCGGTCCGCCGCCGCTGCCCTGGTCGCCATGTCGCCGCTCGGTTGCCAGGCAACCGGGCCACGCGGCCCCCGCGGGACCGCCGCCCTCGCGCCGGGTCCGCCTCGCCGCCCCCTTGCAGGCCGGACAGGCGGACTAGGGCCAAGCGAGGGGTGGGTGGATAAGTGTCCGGGGCCCGGGGCTCTCTTAGTATCCCTGGCGGGTAGGGAGGGCAGAAGCCGGGCCAGCTCTGCCTTCTCTCTCTCTCTCTCTCTCTCTCTCTCTCTCCTTAAGGGTCCCGAACCTCTTTTGCAACCCCCCCCCACCCCCGTTTGTGGGCCCTCCGTGTGCAAGGCGTGCCGACCTTGGGAAGCCCTCAGAAGCTCCAGCCTGGTGCAAAACGTGGCAGCTCACAGAGTTGGTGGGTACATCCTGATACGCTCAAGTGCTCCCAGAGCTGCGTGGGACGGTGGTTGGCACCCTTTAGAGCAGGGGTGTCCAGTCTTGGCAACTTTAAGACTTGTGGACTTCAAC